GACACTATTATTATATATTTTTAACGTTTGATTTTTTCTTTCTGCTTAAAAAAAAAAAAAAATTACGTGACACTAAGGGTGCCCGGATTTTGTGACGGTCTCTAGATGTCAGAACCGAGACATTTAGCCGCGCGAATGTAAATTAATTGATCGTCTCGAGCGAGCATCGCGAGCCTAACCTCGCGACCATGACAAATTTGAATTGATTTAAACTTCTTCCAGCCCTATATATATAGCAAGGCACCAAGATTTCAGTGGAGTTGACAAAAATTAAAATTGAGAGAAGAACCATAAGGATGATAGGGAAAGTTGTGCTTCTGATCATCTTGATAATTGCCAACCAAGCCTTGAATGGGGATTGTAGCAGAACGTTGGAACGGCAAATTAGGCCAAGTAATGGCATGGAGGTCTCGAAAGCAAAAGGTCCTGTCTCGCCTTCTGGGCCATGTCATCGCACTTACGTTCCCGTTGGTGGGCCTCCTTGTAAAATTCATAGGTGATGCTTGTTTTTCATGTTTATTCAATCTGTGTTGTTAATATATTTCAAGGTTCCCCTATGTTTGCTGGGAAAAATAAAATTCCAGCAATTGCTGTATATATTTGCTTGATGTTTGAAGTAGAATGCTGTAGTTATTTTCGTTTCTTTTCTTTTCTTGGTAATTAATACAATGTTATAGCCTCCTTTCTTTGCTGTAAAGAGAATTGTTTACTTTGTTAATTGAGATCATGTTTAAGTTCATCAATCTCTGCTGCTAGAGATAGCAAAACTTGGTTAATTTGTGTGTTTTCACCTTTTTAAGCTCCATTTTCATTCTTTAATACCATCTCTCTTAAATATGTTATTTGAAATTAAGAATTGAAGAATAATTTATCAATAAAAAATAAAAAAATAATAACTTATCTAAGATAAACTTAAATTTATAAAAGCAATTATATTGAGATGGTGGGAGTGCTAATGCATTGGCCTTTCTCCATGTTGATTGAACGATATCTGGATTTGGATGCCAATAGTTAGCACAAGTCTATTTCAAGACCAACCCCTTGGCCCAATGTCAAATTGTCAACAAAGAAAACAATTCCCAGTGAAAACATATTTGAAAATTGAAACCCATAAAGGCATCAAGGATCACACATAATAAGATCATCTCTGTCGTCCACAAACAGATCATCGAGCGGATGACATGACACATGACAGGATGTGCATGTCATCTTTATCTTTCTTGTTAAGAAGAAAGATAAAGATGATGCAATTTAGTGCTCGTCTCTAGCTGTCAAAGCCCACGATGGCTGAAGAATCGCGCTAATGGGAATTAATCGACCGACCAGCCAGCATCAACCGTCTAACTTTGCGGCGTTGACAAAAATATAAGTTGATTTAAATAAAGTTGGTATCTAGCTCTAGCGAAAAATTCATGCAATTATATATATATATATACGCACATCCGTACCAAGGTTTTGTTGGAGTTCATGACAAAAATAAAAATGAAAGCGTGAGAGAAGAAACATAAACTTGAGCGGGAAAGTGATGCTTCTGATCTTTTTGTTAATAACCAACCGAGGCTTAAATGGGAGTTGTTGATCCTTGCAAGCGCAAAGGCCAAGTGACGAAGGGGTCTCACACAGAGGTCCTGAATCATCTTCTGGGCCATGTAATTGCACTTACACACCTGGCGGTGGTCGCAATAGCGGTGGCTCTTGTAAAAGTCATGGGTGATGCTTATTTTTCATGTTTATTCTGTTTTATCAATCTCAAGGTTCTCTTCTGCTTGCTGAGGAAAAGAGTAATGATCAGGGACGACATTGGGGACGACAAGTAAAGTAGGAAATATAAAATTGATAATTTTATATCACCTGCTGCACTTGTTATCCCTCAATTTCGTCCCCTGATCATTACTATAGGGGAAAAATAAAATTCAAGCAATTGCCGTAGATATTTGCTTGAAGTTTGAAGTAAATGTTGTATATAGTTTTTTTTATCCTTTTTTTATCTTTTGGTAATTAGTAAACTGCTATAGCCTATAGTCATCTTCAATGCTGCAAGTGCCAAATTCCAATCATTTGTGGTGCAATAAAATTTTAATGTTCCCCAATTAAAAAAAGAAGGGCATATCATTTTTCACTTTTGGCAACTAGCTGCTGTAATTCAATTAAATTAATCGTACATAAATTTTCTTTTGAAAGATGGTAATTGGTACGAAGGTGAAGATGGAGTCATTGTCTAGCCAATAGCTTTGTACTAAAGGTTCTAGGTGCCATCACGCAAGACCTTTATACCTACTTGGACGTGGTTGACATCCTCCATAAAAATTTGTTATTATTCTACGTGCCATCTATTATAATTGCGATTGGATGTGAACGGTCTTCGATCTCAGCATGTTCATATCTGAATGTGACTGAGGTAAAAAAAATTTAAAGAGAAGTAAATTTGAGTCCAAGTCAGTTAGGCAGCTGAGGCCCCCACTGAGATTCTCCGTACCAGACCATTTTGGGTGCGTTCTGGTGCGGTCTCATTGACTCATGAATCATGAGCATATAAACAATATGATGGGTCCGGTCGTATCCTGTCCTATCTCTGACCCTGATGTACGCCATTCACTTCTCAATGACTAACGGGGTTCCTGATTTGTCTACTCTGTTTCTGTTGTTGATTGAAAAACTTGTTTGACAAGTCGTCCGATAATTTTTTCATTAAAAAAATAATAATAAATGGAAAATTTCTCGTCAGAGTGTCTGTCAAAGATTTCCATCTCAATTCAATGGAAAATTAAATTAAAATTTATTTTAAAAACAGTAAGTGGAAATTTTATTAGCCAAATAATCTCTCTTTCGATACTTTATATTGTCAAATGGCCTTCTTCTCATTGTAGACCTTTCTGAATCTCCCTCACGTAACCAAATCTATTTTTTCCTTTAATTTGGAGCATCATCGATACCCCCATCTTGTTTGCGCCAAAGGCCAACCAACTTTGTCTTCGGCTCCAAAAGGGAGAAAATTTATGCTGCTCTTCTCGTTTGTTCTTATTTGACTTAATTAGATTGGTTTTATGACGGTAATCTAAACATTTATTTTTTTGCCAAATGAAAAAACCAATTTTCTTTTTTTATTGAACTGAGCAAATTGAAAGATTGATTATGTGAGATGAGCCGTATGGTGTGCCTCACACACTAAAAATGGTAATTCGCTTTATGAATTGTTAGCTCAAATAAGAATAAAGAAGCCTTGTGGACCGCCCGCCAAGTTTGACACTTTGACTTCAT